CGATGGCCCTGGGGCCAGGCAAAAGAGGCCTCTGCGTGCCGCCCCGATTCCCCGCCCTGCCCGCCCTCCCCCCGCCCCTCTCACCCCCCGAAGACCGAGGGAGGGGCTGGGGCCCATTGCATTCCGCAGTTCGCTTTTCAGGTGCTTGGGCAAGCAAACGTCACTTTCCTCCGCGATGTGTTTTCCAGGATGCCAATATCGAACATGATATCAGAAAGCAGTTTTGCTGCGTCTCGGGCTCGACGGCAAGGCAAACGCGGTAACGGTCCAGGGCTTCCCACATGCTGCAGCAATCATGCACTGGCTGCGTCCATGGCAGACGCGCGCGCAGGTTGCTTCGAGGCGGCAGGCGGATCGCAGGCCGCAGCCATCGCTGCCGCGAGCGCGGACGCCGTGGCACGCGTTCATGCGGCAGCACAGGCGTCAATATAGCATGGCTGAGCTCAGCGCGCAGTGGGCGCGTTTAACCGAGGGCGTCGGGGAAATCACGTAACCATTGAGCTTTGGGTTCCACGCAATCGATTCCCAGGTCCACGGCCCCGCGGGAGCTCTGAATTTTCATGGAATCCACCGTGTGAGATGTCCCCGGCACCATCAGATCGTCGGGCGTTGTTTCTGCAGCCCAGGAACAAATGAGGCAACATCTACCAGATGATGCCGATGGCCAAGATGGAGGCGATGCCGACCCAGGGCTACCGCCTGACCAAATCGATATTCCAGCATTCCCATTTTGCGGAGATGGCTACTACCCCATGTCCGCGAACAGCTGGTCAGCACGTGCAAGCTCCATCGGCACTTTCTCGCGAGTGGAAGCGCAGGGTAGGCGCGACAGCTCTGCCTCCAGCCCCATCTTTCGATGACGCGCCTCAGCCGCTGTGCGAGCAGGTCTATAGGCCTGGCTTATGCTGCTTGACTGTGGATCCAGTTTTGAAATCATACATGGATAACTTGTATCGGAGAATCGATCGATGGAGCTCCATGCAGAAGCAGGAGACGTCTTCGAAGACCAGCTTCTCGGAGCTGCACATCGGTGCCCCCGATGGCGCTCCTGGCGCTGCCCTGGCAGGTGGCTTCGCGTTTCCATGATCAGAGAATCGCTTCGCCATCAGATGTTCCACGTCGAGCAGGCCTTCAGGCCGAAGGTTGGGGATGTATTGCAACTGCGGCCCGACATTGTAAGAATCCAACCGCGGTGCGACTTCGCCAGGCTGTGTCGCGGTCTTCACGACCAGACAATTTCGCGGTTGTCATGCACGCAGGTGGGCCCTGAAAAGTACAGAGTGGATGTAGTGGATGACGTGTCAATTCTAGAGATTGACTTTGCAAAGAAACAGGCGCAGCTACGAGAATTCAAGGCAATCGTCAACCTCACGAAGGAGATCAAGCCAAAGACTCGCCAGAACAAGACTCGCTCTGGAGCTGGCTTCGCCAAGGGCAGCAGCGCGCCTGACCCTGGCGTTCATGGTGCCCCTGTCGCACTGGACGCGGTCATTGATCACGAGGCTGCTGCCGGGGACGTGGAGGGCGCCGAAGAGGAGCAGGTCGCTGGGATGGAAGAGAGCGAGCACGAGGACATGAAACGTGCACTCGATGCCCACAACGACGATGTTTCAGACGCCGGTGGCGACGTGGCAGATGCCCCTGTCGGTCCGTCGCCGCGTCCTCCGCCGCCTCCTGCCCCTCCGCCACCTGCTCCACCGCGGGCAGAGCTGGGCGTTGACATCGATGAGGCTGGATACGTCTACAGCACGGATGACCCATCAAACCCGGCCATGTGTCTTGGCCGCATCACGAGGACTAGAACTGGCACTACTGGAGAAAGCAGATGCGCAAATTGCAGTCTCCACGGCTGTCAGTACATGAGGAAAGTTCAGTTTGCCCCCAGCCAAGACCAGCTCCTCGCCTGGTATTCGAGGTGCCGTGCTTTGCCAAGAGATCGGACTCTTGCAACCCAGGAGGCGCGCAGAAAGATCTTGGGAGAGGTATGATTCGGTATCTTTCATGACTGGATTATACTGTATGTATGATGGTATGATTCAATGCAACGCGTTGCAATTCCACTCGAAACATAAGCCGTCTGTCAGACCAGCCGCAGGTGCCCACGAAGCATGGATGTTCGCTGCTCGCTCGCAAACCTTGCGCATTAGTCATCATAGAGAACTGTAAAAAATCATTGTGCGCGGCGCCAAGGCGAAAACTGTACCATGAAAGCGGGTCGCCATCAATTTGTGAATTCGTACAACGTTTTATAGTGAATGTGCGCGGCGCTAAGGCGACGGAAAATGAGGAGGAGGAGGAGGAGGAGGAGGAGGAGGAGGACAACAGGGGGGCGAGGGGGAGAAGCAGGAGAACGAGCACGAGTAGGAGTACAAACTGCGAGTAGGCATGGGGGCGGGTTCAGCCACGAGCAGCCACAGCCACGAACAGCCACCCACAGCCACAGGCACGACCATCACCCACGCCCACAGCCACGAACAGCTACCCTCAGCTACGAGCAGCCACGGCCACGAACAACCACCCGCAGCCACATGCTGCATGCACGAGCATCGCCCATACCCACAACCACGAACAGCCACCCTCAGCCACGAGCGGCCACAGCCACGAACTGCCGCATGACAGCGTTGTCGGCCTTTTTCCCGGAAAGGGCATGGGCCCAGGGTTTTCTTTTAGATGGTCTCCTCCCCGGTTTTTACTTGAAGGGGGCAGGCGGAATTCTTGCGCGATAAATTACGAGGTCGAAGGGGGCCGGCGGATTTCAATTGTGAGGACGAAGGCCATTTTTCTCCACCCCTCACGCAGATCGTGCTCTTGGAATTTTATTGCCTTTAAGGAGCCTCGATATTTCACAGGTGAAGTCCATTTTTTCCCAACATCGACTTTAAACGATAAAAAACGAGGTAAACGCGTTCGTTTGATAAATAACGAGGTACCGCGGCCTCCGGAACGGCGCTGGGAACGGAGTTTTGGATTCTTGAAGTTGCATAAGTTCGGAAATAGCAGAAACCCCTTGTTTTTTGACCCTGACCCCGCCGATCTGCGTGAGGTGTGGCACGGAATACCAGAAATGTGTCAAATCCCCAGTGTTTTTGGACCCTGACCCCGCCGATCTGCGTGAGGGGTGGCACGGAATTCCAGAAATGTGGCAAGTCCCATGTGTTTTTGGACCCTGGCCCCGCCGATCTGCGTGAGGGATGGCATGGAATTCCAGAAATGTGGCAAATCCTTTGTGTTTTCGGATCCTGACCCCGCCGACCTGCGTGAAGGGTGGCACCGAATTTCAGAAATGTGGCAAGTCCCATGTGTTTTCGGACCTTGACTTCGCCCAGGAGGGCCCAGGGGGCTCCAGGAGAGCCCAGGAGGGCCCAGGAGAGCCCGGTTCGGACGGGAAATTAAGGTGAGAAAAAAATTCTCACCTTAAGTTGGTGCTTCGTGGACCGTCTTCGGGCTTTTTGGGGGTTCTGTTGGCGCCGTTTTCGGGCCATCTTGGGCCTGTCTGGGTCCTCCCGGGGGCGCCTTGGGGGCGCTGGGGGCCGTTTCAGACGCGACGTGAAGGTGAGGAAAAAATTCTCACCTTAAGTTTGTGCATCGCGGACCGTGAGACGAAACGAGGGGTTGCATCTGCCGCGCGGGCGCCGGGGGCTGGGGGGCGTTTGCTAGATGGCGTGATGTTTTCGTGAGCGCCGCTCCTCTCGGAAGCCCAGCTGCCACGTTACAAATGCAGGGGTGCCGTATCGAGCAAGATCCGTGCGCCACCTCGGTGGGGGCAAAAAACCGGCCACCTCGGTGTTCGACCACGGGATGCGCGGGCGTGCGGACTTCGCCTCGCCAGCGATCCTTTGGTTCCGAGTTCGCGTCGCCAGCTGCCCCCTTGTTCCGCGGACGTTGCGGCCCGAGTTCGACTTCTGGCACCCGCGGCTCGGCCATCGGCCCCCCTGCGATCCGACCCCGGCGCCGCGTCGAGGGGGGCCCCTCCGGCGGTGCCGGGGCCAGGCGTGCCAGCCGGACAACCGCTTTCCCTGCGCCGTGGCACATCGCAATTCAGCACGGCGCAGCACAGCACAGCCCTTGGCACGGTACATCAAGATCGATACAATCAGCATTGCAGTTGCCCGTCACCCAATCAGGTGTCTTTGAAAACGCTGCCATGCGTTACATTTCTATATTCCTTTCCGGGTTCGTGGGTCGATCATGTTTCGTTGCTACCAGAAATCACTACTCAGACTTAGATAATCTCGGATGTCTCACGGCTGTCCAGCCATGGCGGCCTTGGCGAAGCTTCCAGCAAGGCACACTGGGAAGGACCCCGGTGGCTCCAGGAACATGCAAATAGGGCCCAAACATTATCCCAAAGTGACCCTACCTAGGAGTGGGAACCCCGAGGAGAGCAATATTAGTAGTGACGGTAAACGCCGTCTTCCTCCTTTTCCTCATCGTCGCAGTTGTAGCAGTAGCGGTAGTAGTAGCAGTAGTAATAGTACAACTTAACACCTACATCTACATCTATACCTGCATCCCTCCACATCTACATCTACATCTACATGTACACGTGCATCTACATCTACATCTATATCTACAACTACACTCACATCTACATCTACATCTACACCTACATCTACACCTACATGTAACATGCAACATGTACATACAATAATAGCTCCAACGAAATTGCAAGGACACCGCCGATAGCATATTAAAGAAGGGAGACTCATAGTCTCATAGTCTCTACGACAAACCATTGGTTTTGCAAGGATTCCAACGCGTTCGCCCGCCAGGCGTGCGCGTGTGTTGAGCATTCGTTCTGTGTTATATTGTATTGTTTGAGCTAACGTGGTAGTATCGTATTAGTTGGTAATATGGTAGTGTAGTGTAATATTAGTTGGCATTCCAGTATTAGGAGGTATAGTATCAAGCGCCGAACGAGCGCCGCATGGTATCTTAGTATTAGTTGAGTTCATGCGCCATTGCCATTTTGGCCCGAGGCATGCGGCGCCTTTAGTCGAATGCATTCGACTCTCAAGAGGCGAGCCTCTGCCGCGACATTGAATGCTGCTGACAATCCTGCTGGCGTCAAGACGCGGAGGGCTGGTTCCGAAGCGTATCCAGACTCGGCGGTGCAGCATTTTCTGCGTCGTGCGCTTGAGCAGCTCACCTCTGACGAGCTTCTGAACCTCGAGGCGCATGTGTGCGGTTCCAAATTTGCCAGTGCTTGTTCAGGCGCAGGAACGGCCGAACTGGCTCACCATGCTCTTTGTGCCATGATCGGCTCTCGGAGTCGATGCCTTTTCGTTTGCGAGATTGTGCCAGCGAAGAGAGAACATTTGATTGAGAACGTGATCGCGGGCATCGGTTGCAGTGAGTGCTGCGTGTTTGAAGACGTCTGCGACTTGCGCATGCCCAGCGCCAAGTGCGCGGCGCGCGGCAATTGCTTCGTGCAGTCGCCGTTCATGTTCCTCATGGGGTATTATTGCAAAGATTTGTCGAAGAGAAAATCCCAAAAGTTGGGTCGTGTACTCTCAGAGGTAAAAGGTATTAGTGGAAGCGCGGTCGCTGGTCTCTTACAATTTGTCAGTCGCCACAGACCGCCCGTGATTATACCCGAGTGCGTGGGGGAAATGGGCAAGCCAGAAGACCAATCTACCAGCGTGAAATACCTCCATGCCGTCTTCAGGTCCCTTCGGTATGAAATCAAAAACTCGTTATTGTGGGCATCTGACTACGGTTTGCCTCGGCGCCGACAGCGGGCATGGACCGTCGCCGTCAATTGCTTGCACTTCGAGTGGACCCCGATCGAAGCCATCGGCGCTCTCGGGCGCATCTTCGAGGTCGTCTTCCGTTTGAAGGTCGAGCAGCCGCCCGAGCTCGAGGACTCGCGCCCCGACCCCGAGAGCCAATCGCGCCCGACTGGCCTTGCGAGGGGAGGGCGTGGAGGAGAGGAGGAGGAGGAGGGGGAAGAGGAGGAGGAGGGAGGGAGAGGATCTAAGGCTGACGTTCGGACCCCTAGGACGTGATCTCCCCGCATTCAGATCCGTGTGTTCAGGCCGAGTTGCGTCGCAGACAGGAGTCGCGGGTCGGGGGGCCGCATCTTTCTTGGAAGGCACGTCGCAGGGACTTTTTGGCTGCTCAAGGTATTCTGCGAAGCTCCCTCTGCCTGCCAGAGCGCGCGCGCCAGAGCCATTGGTTCTACTTGTTGCCGCAGCGGGAGAAAGAGTGCTTGGCGTACGCCCACGCGGTCCGACCTGATTTGAACGCATGCGGTTTATCGCAGCAGATGAGCAGGCTGCCGATCAACGACAAGAAGCATTTCATCCATGCGTTGACTCCGAATGCCAAGACGCGGATCGATTGCGAGGTCCAGAATACTCGGTCTTGCAGGCTGTTGACTGATATGGAGGCGCTGCTGCTGCAAGGCTTCCCTCGCATCGCGTACAACAGAGAGGTTTCCCACCCGTTGAAGAATGATTTCGCTGGGAACGCGTTCAGTTCTATGTGCGCCCTCGCTTTGATCATCGCCTGCTACTCGAAGCTGCCGAAATTTTCTGGGAGCCAGCTCGAAGACGCATCCGATAACGTGTCCGATATCGTAGGCATCGCGACCTCTACTTGAGCGGCTGCGCCGCGCCGCAGCGCGCGGCAGTGGCCGTGCTGTGCTCGCCGCCAGGGCGCGTTTGCCTATATTGGCGTTTGCTGAAATCACATTGCGCGCTGTCTGTATATCCACCAGCCCATCCAGCAGCGGGGGCCAAGCGAGAGGCTCCCATCAATAGTCTGCCCTCCCCCGCCGCCCCCCTCATCCGGGGAAAGGGGCGGGGCTGGTTTTGAGCCGCTGACGAGATATCCAAAGCGAAAGCTAAGACGGAGTAGTCCGGAGTTTCGGGGGCGCAATCCGGAGTTGCGCCGCCGAAATTCCGGATTAAACCTCGTAGCTCGTTTCGCTCTTCCGGCCCGCCCCCGCCGCCCGCCTCCCTTGGGAAAAGGGGCGCGGAACAATCCGGAGTTTCGGGGGCACAATCCGGAGTTGCGCCGGCGAAGCTCCGGATTAGAGGCACAATCCGGAGTTGCGCTGCCGAAACTCCGGATTCAACCTCGTAGCTCGTTTCTCTCTTCCGGCCCGCCCGCGCCGCCCGCCTCCCCTGGGAAAAGGGGGGCGGAACGCTCCGGAGCTTCGGGGGCACAATCCGGAGTTGCGCCGGCGAAGCTCCGGATTAGGGGCACAATCCGAAATTATGCTCGATTTTGTTGTTTGGCCAGTCTTCAAAAACGAACCGCGGATGTCGGGGCCGGAGCAAATCTGAACCTCGTGATGTTTGAACTTGCCAAAATTCTGAACCTTGACTTCCGCTTCAATCCAAATATGAACAAACTAATTCCGAACGTTCTTGAAATCCGAACCACAGACTGCCGAATTGGTCAAAATCTGAAACAACAAAATCCAAACGTGCTTGAAATCCGAACCGCTTACTTCGGAATCAGTGAAAACTGAACCAACACATTCCGAACACAGTTCAAATCTGAACCTAAGAATTCCGAACGCGCTGGCAATCCGAAGCGTTGATTTCCGAACCTAGTTACGCATGTGTTTCCGAACCGAGCATTTCTGAACTTAGTTACGGCCGCCTAAAGAGATAAGATCTCTAATCCTGTCAACTTATGACTGTTTTGCTGGTGGTCATGGTGATGATGCTGATGATGCTGGTGCTGATGATGGTGAGTGTGGTGGTGGTAGTGATGATGGGGTTGATGATGGCGACGACGCCGACGATGATGACGATGCTGCTGATGTTGTTATGATGATGGCGACGGTGATGATGCGGACTTTGCATATTGTGATGGTGATGCTGGTGATGGTGCTGATGCTGTTGATGACGATGATGATGTCGATGATGTTGTTGATGTTGATGATGGTTATGCTGCTGATGGTGATACTAATGCTGTTGATGGTGATGGTGAGGAGGAGGATTAGGATGCTGATGATGACGATGTTGCTGCTGATGATGGTGATGATGGTGATGATGCTGATGATCATGATCGTGATGATGATAATGATGATGATGATGATGGTGGTGGTTGAAATGTTGATGATGATGCTGATAGTGATGATGCTGATGCTGCTGATGCTGATGATGAGGCACATGCTGAGGATGCGGCGGATGATGATGATGATGATGATGACGATGGTGATGATGATGATGATGTTGATGATGATGATGACGATGATGATGATGATGATGATGATGATGATGGTGATGATTATGATGATGATGATGATGATGGTGATGATGCTGTGGTGGGATGAGGGAGGAGGGATGATGGGGGGGGGAGGACGACGACGAGGAGGAGGAGGGGGAGAGGAGGGAGGAGAGAGGAGGAGGAGGAGAGGAAGAGGAAGAGGAGGAGGAGGAGGAGGAGGAGGAAGAGGAGGAGGAGGAGTGTGAGGAGGAGGAGGAAGAGGAGGAGGAGGAGGAGGAGGAGGAGGAGGAGGAGGAGGAGGAGGAGGAGGAGGGTGAGGAGGAGGAGGAAGAGGAGAGGAGAAACGCGTGGCGCTGGCTTTTTAAACCGAAGACCCAACACCACAGGGTGGTTTGCAATTATCTGCCACCTCGCGGCGTCCTCCAATTGATCTTTTCGAAGGGCCCCACCACATGCAGCTGTGAGTGCAGTCGTTGCGGCCTCGAAACGTGTGAGTGGTGTGCCGAAATAGTGCGGGGCCGCCATGCGGATCCTCCCGCTGGGGCCTTGAGTGGTGCTCCCTATGGGAAGCCGAAATTGGGCGGGGCCGTCATGTGGACCCTCCCATTGGGGCCTTGAGTGGGGCTCCCTACGGGGCCACGAACCTCGTGAGAGTATTGCCAAAATGGGGCGGGGCTGCAATGCGGACCCTGCCACTTGCGCCTTCGGCGGAGCTCCCTCTGAGGCCCCGAACTGTGTGAGGGGTGTGCCGAAATGGGGCGCGGCCGTCATGTGAACCCTCCCACTGGGGCCTTGAATGGAGCTCCCTGTGGGGCCACGAACCGTGTGAGGGTTTTGTCGAACTGTGGCGGGGCTGCCATGCGGACCCTGCCACTTGGGCCCTGGGCGGCGCTCAATCTGAGGCCACGAGCCGTGTGAGGGGTGTGCCGACATGGGGCGGGGCCGCCATGCGGACTCTCCCACTGGAGCCTTGGGTTGAGCTCCCTGTGGGGCCACGAACCGTGTGAGGGGTCTGCCGAAATTGAGCGGGGCCGCCACGCGGGCCCTGCCACGTGGGCCTCGGGTGGCGTTCCCCTGGGGCCGCGAACCGTGTGAAGGGAGCGCCGAAATCATGTGGGGCCGCCATGCGGACCCCGCTTGGGCCTTCGGTGGAGCTCCCTCTGGCGCCACGAACCGGGTGAGGGCTGTGCCGGAATGGGGCGGGGCCGTCATGTGGGCCTTCCCATTGGGGCCTTGGGTGGAGCTCCCTATGAGGCCACAGACCGCACGAGGGGTGTGGGTGTGCCAAAGCGGGGCGGGGCCGCCATGCGGACCGTTCCACTGGGGCCTTGGGTGGAGCTCCTGATGGGACCACGAACCGTGTAAGGGTTGTGCCGAACTGGGGCGGGGCCGCCATGCGGACCCTCGCACTGGGGCCTTGGGATGCCCTATGGCCCCACGGACCGTGTAAGTGTTGTGTGGAGCCCCTTATCGGGCCACGAATCGTGTGAGGGAGTTTCTGAATTGTGGCCGATAGTGATGGCGACAACGAGCATCGTTGGGGTCATGAAGCTGATGACGATGACGCTGATGGTGCTGGTGATGGTCATGGTGATTGTGATGGTGGTGGTGATGATGATGCTGGTGCAGCTGATGATGAAGATGGTGATGGTGCTGATGATGCTGCTTCGAATGATTATGCTGATGACGACGATACTGATGATGGTGATGGTGATGGTGATGATGATGATGATGATGATGATGCTGACGATGACGATGACGATGCTGATGATAATGATGTTGATTGTGATGCTGATGATGATGATGATGATGATGATGTTGAAATGATGTTGATGATTATGCTGCTGATGATGATGCTTGGGATGATGCTGATGATGATGGTGCTGCAGATGATGCTGCTGCTGCTGCGGCTGATGACGATGATGCTGCTGATGATGATTATCATGATGGTGACGAGTATATTGATGACGACGGCGATAGTGGTGGTGATGCTGATGATGCTGATGATGCTGACGCTGCCGATGATGACGATGATGCTGCTGATGATGCTGATGATGATGGTGGTGATCATGATGCTGCTGCTGCTGCTGATGATGATGATGATGATGATGATAGTGATGATGATTATTATGATGATGCTGATGATGATGATAACGATGCTGCTGCTGCTGATGATGATGATGGTGATCATGATGCTGCTGATGACGATGACGATGATGATGATTCTGATGCTGATGATGATGATGCTGATGCTGATGATGATGATGATGATGACGATGATGATGATGATGCTGATGCTGATGATGATGATGATGATGATGATGATGATGATGCTGATGATGATGATGATGATGATGATGATGATGATGATGATGATGATGATGATGCTGATGATGATGATGATGATGATGATGATGATGATGATGATGATGATGATGATGATGATGATGATGATGATGATGATGATGATGATGATGATGATGATGATGATGATGATGATGATGATGATGATGATGATGATGATGGTGATGGTGATGATGACGATCAGGACATGCGGAGTGCGGATGGCAGAGGCGGGGATGGAAGGAGGGAGGAGGCAGGAGGAAGGAGGCGGGAGAGGGAGGAGAGCGCGGGGCGCTGTCTCTCCAAATCGAACCACAGGATGGTCGGGAGCAGCCTCGGGGAGGGGGGGGGGTGCCACGCCTCCCTGAGGGGAGAAGGGGCACGCCCAGGGGTACTCCCTGTGCTTGTAAGCTGCGCGACGCGTACATGTTTGGAGGGCGACTGGTTTTTCAGTATTTGGGTCTCTTCGGGCCCTTATTCGTGCGCGACGTGTGCATGTTTGGAGGGCGACTGGATTTTGAGTATTTGGGTCTCTTCGGACCCTTACTCGTGCGTGACGTGTACATGCTTGAAGGGCGACTGGTTTTTCAGTATGTGGCTCTCTTCGGACCCTTATTCGTGCGCGACGATTCGAGCGCGACGTGTGCATGTTCTGAGGGCGACTGGTTTTTCAGTATGCGGCTCCCTTCGGACCCTTCTTCGATTTTCCCGATCCTTCTTGTTGGCATGTCTCGTGGCCATGGATTTGGAGGGCGGATCCTCTTCACGGGGTCTCGCCTGGTCTGGCAGGACCATGCGGGGCTCGTGTTTCAAGGAGGTGATTCCCATTCTGACGCGGAATGCCCGTGGGGATTTCTGAGGAGGAGCGTTGGAACGGTAAAGACTATTTCAACACGGTTGATGATGTTGCCTTTTTTTTGATCGTCTTCCTCGCATGAACCGGCCAGGAGCTTGTAGGGCTCTCAGGAGACCCCGGACAACCGCGAAGAAAGAGGGTGAGGACGTTCCATGTCAAGGTCTTTGGATGTGACTTTCTGGGGCCGCCTTGGAGGTC